CTGTGACCAGGCAGTGACTACAACTTTGCCTCTCGTCAGCTCTACTATACACCTGAGAAATCTGATCATTCACATAAAGTTATAGGATCATTGTCTGTCCTGGCCTTGTTTTGGCTGAAGATATTGAACTTTTCCATTGCCTCTTGCCACAGATATCATCAATCTGATTCCTGTGTATTTCATCTGATGAAGTCCATGTGTATAGCTGTCACTTATGTTGTTGTAAAAAGGTATTTGTGATGAATAATTCATTGGTCTTGCAAAATTCTATCATGTGATCTCCAGCGTTATTTCTGTCACCAAGGCCATATTTTCCGATTACTAGCAACTCTTCTTTGTTTCCAACTTTTGCGTTCCAGTCACCAGTGATAATCAATACATCTTGATTGCACGTTTGGTGAACTTCAGAATGCAGAAGTTGGAAGAAATATTCAATTTCCTCATGTTTAGCTTTTGTGGTTGGTGCATAGATTTGAATAATAGTAGTATTAACTGGTCTTCCTTGTAGGCATATGGATATTATCACTGACAGCATTGTGCTTCAGGACAGATCTTGAAACAGTCTTTGTGATGATGACTGCCACTTTCCTCTTCAATTTGTTATTCACAGCATAGTAAATCATATGGTTGTCTGATTCAAAATGGCCAAAACTGGTCCATTTCAGCTCACTAATACCTAGGATATTTATCTTTATGTGTTCTATTTCATTTATGTGTCTACTAATGGGTATACACATGTTAACTAGGGTGAAGAGGAGCATAGATAAATAAATAAATATAAATAAAACATACAAAATGATCTTATTCTTTCATATAATGTGGAACTAAAAGGATGTGTGTCCTTATTTGCATGTTTTGAGATGAGGAAACTGAAGCTCAGAGAGCTAAAATGACTTGTTTTAGGATAAATAATTAAGAAATATCCAAGTCAGGTTAAAACTAGGCTATCCTAAGTGCAGTGACAAATATGCTTTCCACCTGATTCTTGCTGTGTCACTAGCTTTTAGCGAAAAATAAAATTCTTATTTCTGTTCTGAAATAGATATTCTAAGCAAACATTTCACTGACTATCAATGGAATTATTCAGACAATAATCCAAAAGCCAAACTCAGCCATGAAGTTGATCCTGCCTCATAGTGACCCCACTGGGTTTCCAAGGCTGTAAATTTTTATGGAAGGAAATGGTGTCATTTTTCTTCTGGAGAGCAGCCAGTGGGTTTGAACCTGACCTATTTGTTATCAGCCAAATATCTTAATCAGTACACCACCAGAGCTTCTTAATTCAGACAGTTATAGGAGAAAGAAATATAGTTAATGAGGAAAAAGAAAGACAATATAAGACAAAAGTGCCAATATTATTTAAAAATTACTATAAAAATGAATTTATATTTTAAAACCTTTCTAAAAGAAATCTCAAGGTACGAATGGTTTAATTATATCAAATATTTAAAGAAGAAAACCAATTCTACAACATTTTTCCCATAAAATTGAAGAGGAGTGAACCATCTCCGTGTAATTTTATTAAACCAAAGTACCCTGTTACCCAAACCAGATAACAATGGTAGGGAAAAAGAAGAAAGAAGAAAGAAGAAAGAAGGAGGAGGAGGAAGAAGGGGAGGAGGAGGAGAAGGAGAAGAAGAAGAAAGCTACAAATCTATATTCCTCATGAACATAGACATAAAAATCTTCAATAAAGTATTAGCAAATTAAATCCAGCAATATATGGAAAGAATAAAAGACTGCACACTGGAACACAGTGTCTTCTTGTGCAGGATTTATATTAGGGAAGCAAAGATGTTTTAATATGAAGAAATCTATTTTAATATGTCACAGAAATAGATACAGTAGGGAAGGTCATATGATAGTCTGGAAAGAAGCTGAAATGACATGGACTTTTTAATGTGTCTTTTCCTTTCTTTACTCCTCTTTATTTCTTATTTTCAGTAGTTCTCAACTGGCGACATTGTTGCCCATAAAAAGACATTTCATAATGTGTGGGACAGGTGTATTTTTTTCCCCCACATTCCTTTTGATTTTCCCATGTCTGCAATGTTTGACGATGAAGGAGAACAGGGGTGTTTAACCTCTATAGAATGCTTTACACTCCCATACAATGAAAAATTGTCTCACCCCTTGTGCCAGGACTGTTCCATTTGAAGAACTCTGTTTTAGATGCTCTCTCAGGGTGATTTCATTCACCCTCCTCTACCTTCCAAACTCCTAGTCTTCTTTCCTGAGATCTATGTATCCAGATAGAGTCCTTGGGTGGTGAAAACACTTAATATGCTCCGCTGCTAACTGAAAGTTTTGTGGGTCAAGTCCTGACAGTATATTTCTAAAAAAAAAAAAAAAAATTGATTGAGAATTCTATGGAGAACAATTCTACTCTGACATACATTGGCTTCCATTAGTCAGAGTTAACTCAACAGCAACTGTTTTTCTGTCTATATACCTGCTTGACATATCTACTCTATCTTTCCCAGGCTTCAAAGAAACCATCATTCTTCCCATCATATATTTCAGAAAATGGCACTATTATTTCTCTGCTACAACTTCACCATTCAATCCCAGCCACACTAGGACAAAGTCTTGGTTGTCCCTGTTATTCACAGTCAATCTCCCACCTTTCCTTATTTCTTTATTTCCTTACCATCCTACTGAAATTCAGTTCCCTCTGTTTCACTCTCTCTGAGAACTTTGTGGTTCCTTTCTAATATGTATCATAACTAATGATTACTTAGTTAGCATTTGTTTTCTTATTTGTGGCTCTTTTTCTCCATCACTTTTCATCACTATCTACTATAGAGACCATGTCTCTTCTCATTATGTCCCCAATATCTAGTATGATGCCTGAAATATAGTTTTTAATAAATGGTCACCATGTGAATAAGAAGTGCATGCATTTTTCACATGGATTCCTGTGAAAATTTTCTAATTGGTCCATTAGCCTCTACTTGTCCACTTGCTACAAACTCCACACAAAACTTTGTACCAAGTGATCTGTCTAAAAGATAATTCTGACTCTCACTACCTTAGTTGTAGTCCAGTGCACTGTGGATCTGGGCAGCATTAGAAGGACTTTCATTCCAGTGTGAGTAGTTGTGGACCTCTGGTGAGGAAGTGTGCATAGTGACTCTCTGGGGAGGCTGGAGGAGGAGGCTAAGGTTGAATCATCTCTTCAGTACACTCCTTAATGTGGAAAGCAGCACTGCATACCCTCACTTATTATTTTCTAACACAAAGAGGTCTAGCTGCCAAACAGTCTGTGATGTCATTAGTTTGTCCCTCAGATTGAGTTACTTTTCTGAAATGCAAATCTATCATGAACGTTACAGATACTGCTCAATAATAATTGCTAACTATATTAATTGCATGCTCTCTATTTCAACTCTTCGCTTGTGAAATCTTTGGGGTTCTCATTAGGGATCCAAAGTGGATGTTGCTGCCTATGTGGGAGGGAAAGAGTCATAAAGATTTACATTTCACTCAGGGCCTCTAGCCTTCTGCATGGTGAGCATGCTCTGTCCATAGGAGGCTGTCAGAAGAGGCCCCCTTCCCCTGCTTTCTATGGAAACCAAAGCCAAGACATGCCTCTCCTGTCCTGAGTCTGTCTGCCAAGAAGAGTCTATTCCACAGCTGTTTAATCTGTTCCACATTATAGAGTTTAAAAAAACCAACCTCAAACTGTTTCAGAATATTTTACCTATATTTTTCCATATATTTTCTGCATCAATGAAACTTCTATTTACAGAATCTTGATTTAAAGAGAATCCTGAGTTGCTTTGGGGAGATAATTTTGCAAGCTTCACCCTTGGGCTCATAAGCTGCTGCTTCAGAGAAGACACATTGTCCAAATCTAAAAGGCAGTCTCATGATAGATATCTAAACCAAAAAACCCAAACTCACTGCTGTCAATTTGGATCCAACTCATAGCGACCCCTCCTTGGGTTTCTGAGGCAGTATCACTTCGCAAGTAGATTGTCCAACCTTCCTTCCAAGGAGTCGCTAGTGAGTTTGAACTGCCAGCCTTCTGGTTAGCAGTCAAATGCCTTAGGCACTACACCACCAGAACTCTCAAAGACAGCAATAATCAGGGGAAGGAGAATTTTGAGCAAATAAGGAAAAAATACATTAACAAAGTTGTGCTAATAAATATGTCAAGCTTTGTACTGTAGAATCTTATGGAAAAAATTAAATTAAGTAAACATAACTTAAAGGAAATGGAAAATCCAAATGAATGACAATTTAAACACTAACAGTGTTACTAGTTTATTACCTCAAAAAAAAAAAAAAAAAGTTCAGTTTTGACATGGATTGGTAGAGAATGTCTTTAACCACATTCTGGTTTGTCCTTATTTTATAACCTCTCTTATTTGGCAGGGACAACATTGATGTTTCTCTAGAGTCCAATCTCAGACATTCTCTTTACATTTAGAGAGCTCTTGGGCAAACTTGACTGGTCCGTTGGTTAAAATTCTCACAGCTGTACCTAAGTTTACACAACCGCCTAGACTTTTCTCTAGGACTTTTAATTCTGGTTGAACATTTATTCCAATTGAACACTTCCTAAAAAACCTGATCTCTGTCTCTCAGAACTTTAAGTTATCATCTTTCTCTCTTTCTCCCTATACTCGCCTCTCCCCTAGCAGCCACCCACTTTGGTCCCTGTCTCCACCTACTTAGCCCAAGCAGAAAACGTGAGGTCCTTCTCATCATTACTTTAGTCAAGGTCTCTAGCCTCTCCCCTGGCATCACTGCAAGACCCACGGGGATCTGGACTCCGCCACGCCCCGCCAAGCCCTACCACACCACACCCCGAGGGTCTTGGCTCTACCAGCCCCCCCCCCCGCATTCTGTCAATGCGCAGGCGCGTTCCCCGCCCCACCCCTCCGCTGCGGAAGACGCCGCGCAACGGTGTACACTTCCTCTCCTTGAATCTGCGGAGACAGAGCACGCCCAAATAGCTCCGGGACACAGGCCCTACTCTGGTCAGAGCGGACATGTCGGAACAAAGTAAGGATCTGGGCGACCCCAGCTATGCAGCTGAAATCTCCCACTCCGAGGTGTGCAGTAGCCCTGGGATCCCAATGGAGGCTCCTCTGCCAGTCTCTCAGGCAGCGACTCTCGCAGAGCCACAGAACCTTCCTCCTAGACCGATGGACGCAAAGCAGGCCTCACCGCAGCCCCAGGCCCTAAGCGACAAGGGGGACGCAAAGGCCCTGCAGCGGGCGGCAGAAGAAGGCCGCGCCCGCCAGGCCCTGAGTGCGTCTCCGGCCCAGCCTGGCCCAGCACCGCCAGCCCCTGCCCAGCTGGTTCAGAAAGCTCATGAGCTCATGTGGTATGTGCTTGTCAAGGACCAAAAGAAGATGATCATATGGTTCCCAGATATGGTGAAGGATGTCATCGGTAGCTACAAGAAATGGTGCAGGAGCATTCTTAGGCGTACAAGCCTCATCCTCGCCCGAGTGTTCGGGCTACACCTGAGGCTGACCAGTCTGCATACGATGGAGTTTTCACTAGTCAAAGCACTGGAGCCTGAGGAGCTGGACAGGATGGCGCTGAGCAACCACATGCCCATGACAGGTCTCCTGCTGATGATCCTCAGCCTCATCTACGTGAAGGGCCGCGGTGCTAGAGAGAGTGCAGTCTGGAATGTGCTGCGCATTCTGGGCCTTAGGCCCTGGAAGAAGCATTCCACTTTTGGGGATGTAAGAAAGCTCATTACCGAGGAGTTTGTTCAGCAAAATTACCTGAAGTACCAGCGCGTACCACACGTTGAGCCACCTGAGTATGAGTTCTTCTGGGGCGCCAGAGCAACCCGTGAAATTACCAAGATGCAAATCATGGAGTTTCTGGCCAGGGTCTTTAAAAAAGACCCCCAGGCTTGGCCTTCCCGGTACAGAGAAGCTCTTGAGGAAGCTAGAGCCCTGCGGGAGGCTGACACCATTGTCCACTACCCACGAAGCAGCGTTTCTGAGGATTAGCAAGGTCTGGAGGCTGCTTGATTGGTCTGACCCTCACCAGTGCTGTGGAGGGGTGGGTTGGGCATTAGAGTATTCAGGATTTACAGTGCAGTATTTCACGTGTAACTTTCAGTTTTCAGTACAGTGCTTTTATACCTTTTAATGCAATGTTGTATTCATTTGGGTACTATTGTGTAGTGTTTAGGATTTATGCATGTCTGTGTATAAGTAAGCTCTGTTGGTGCTTTAGCTCTTGTGCTACCTTTCTTGGATTTTTGTACCAGAGATGTGCTAAATGTATGAAATACATTAAGAAATTTTCCATGTTATTCTTTTATATGGAACGGATGTTGTGTATTGATATAAACTGCTCATGGAGAGTTTGGAAGAACTCACTAGTAAAGCTGACAAAACCAAGAGAAAAGTCAAGGCCCCTTTATCTCCTTGCTGGGCACAGGAAACACATCTATGTGGAGTTCAATAATTAGAACTGAACTGATCTTAATGTGGGCACTTGTCACACTTTACTAAACACAAACACAATTCCACCACAAGTAAACATTAAAGATCCATGTGATAAAATCATTTTTGGAAAAGTGTACTTTATATATCTTTGTAACAAACTAGTACTGTTGGTTTACAAAATGTACAGGTAGAGCTTTTTCACCTAATAGGAAAATCACTACTTCTCAATACTCATGAGTGTGTGAAGTTTATAATTTTATTTTTTTACATAACTTGCATGTTCATTTAAGAAACTTTGACAAATATAGAGAAGTATGAAAAGAAGCAAAATGAGTTTTTAATGACATCACATAGAAAAAATATTTAGAGTGATTTTGTTTCATTTTCTACATTTTATTAAAATTAATAACTTCAATAAATTCATATCCATCTTTTGTGGGCACAGAAAAAGTGACGCATTGTACTAAGCCTTTTACATTAATTTTCTCCTTTTACATAATCCTCATAACAGCCCTGTGAAGCAGGCACTTTTTACATCTACACCAAGGTGGAAATTCAGTAATAAAATATGTAATTAACTTTTCCTCAATCATAAGCTTAGTAAGAATATGGATTACAATTTGAGTGCAGAATAAATGTAGAGCTTACACTCTTTCCCACCTGTTGACCCATGCCCTCAACCCCTTGGTTTTTAGTCTATTTTTGTTTTTGTTTGTTTTTTTTTTAAATTCCGTATTTCAGTCTGTACTCTTAATCCCTCACTCTTAAAACACATACACATATAAAATGGGCTACAAAATTTTATTTTCTGAGGTAATCCTCACTATAAGCCTTTCTAGAAAGCAATATTATTCTAATTTTACAAATTAAGAAATTTAGAAAGATCTAAGGACCTAGCCAAATAATTCCTGCTTAGTTATCAGTGAAGTCTAGATTTTAAACAAGTCTGTACTGAAGGTCTGAGATGAAAGAGGCTTCTGTGACCATCAAGGCCAGGGGCACACTCAGGAGAGGGAGGTGGGAGCTGGAATAGGAAGACAATTTTTTAGGCTGGGTGTGTCTCAGGAGTCCTTGAATTACAAGGTGATCTTTCAGAGGGTGAAACTGGGTGTGAATGGGAGAGAGAAACAATGACTGAAAAAATAGTCTCACTCTGAAATTTTCAGTCCTATCAGAAGGAGAATAGGAAAAGGGACCTTTAATAAATCTAAAAACCCTTTAAATGCTACAGGATTGGAAAAGGCCATTTGTTGAAAGCCTATACCTTTCCTGGGAAAAACAGATAATGAGTAGGAGCATATTGGACTACTATGTCCCATCACCCCCAAAAGAAACAAAAATCATATTTGGGTAAGGGAGTTATAATCTGGGTTGGGTGCTAGGATTCCCAGCACTTAATAGCATCACTTAACAAGTAGAATATTGTTGAAAATGCTCAAGAAGCCTCAGGTTTACTGAGATGGAATATATCCCCAGCTTAGAAGACTTCTTATGAAGCCCTAAAGAGGGGCAGTTTTGCAGTAACCCAGGCAGGAATGACCAGGTTTTGATGGCACCACTTACCGAAAGCCAACGTGAGTGTCATGTTGTTGTTGTTTGCTGTCGAGTCAGCCCCGACTCATAGCGACCCCTCCTTGGGTTTCCGGGGCAGTATCACTACGGAAGTAGGGTTGCCCAACCTTCCTTCCGAGGAGTGGCTGGTGGGTTTGAACCGCCAGCCTTCTGGTTAGCAGTTAAGTGCTTTAGCCACTATGCTACCAGAGCTGTGAGTGTCATAAATGTTTATAAATTTCCCCTCCCCAAATCCAAAAAATTTAATCAGAATCCAAACAAATCTACCTCTTTTCATTTAAAATTATAGAGCTATGCAGTATGCTCCATTTCTGGAGAAAAGCCACAGCTGTCACTCCTTTTATGGTATGGTTCTAGTCATTTTCTCTAATGCTTGCATGTTTTCCTTACTGGAGAGCTGACTTTTCTCAACAATGGTTGCTCCTGTACACTTCTTGCAGTCACACCCAGAAGCCACCAAGGAGGCAGTCCCCTCCCTTCTTCCTATTTTTGTATCTATCTTCTCTGCTGTGAGAGGCAGAGGGAAACATCTCCATACCTGGCCCAAGCTCACTGACACAAGTATATAAACCATAACATAGAAGATTGAACCTCCAAATGACATGATTTTGAGAACTGAGCTGATCTTACTAAGTCACATGGGCAGGGAGACTCAGCTCCTATGATGACTTAGAAGCAGCCAGTACTAGAGGAAATGGATTCCATGATATGGATCAGAATTGGTTCATGATACCTGGCCCCATAGGAACAAAAGTTTGGGGCAAATCAGAATTGGTTCATGATTCCTGGCCCCATAGGAACAAAAGTTTGGGGCACAGGGAGGGAACACTGAATATTTCTCCTAGATTTTCACTTCTCACTCTGGGCTCTGAATAAAGTTGGAGGGTTTGTCAAATATTGTGTAGAAGGTTCACTCATAAAGTGCTAGGATAAGCCTTTCAGAAAAGGATCAGGAAGGAGGTCCTTGATGTTACAATCCAGGATGACAGTGTGGTGAACCCAAACTGCTGTGATTGAGAGGTTGTCCTAATTACCCATAACATGTGACCTTTTATCTGGTCACCCTGGCATGTGGGACCCCACTTCTTAACAAGCTCTCATACACAAAGTCACTTAACTTCATTTTAATGAAATCATGAAGGGTAAAAAAGTACTTTTGTAAATTTAATATAAAATTTAATGGCATCTGGCTTAACTTATCCTGAGAAGAATATCAATGACTTTAAGTTTATGATTACTAAACAGAAAATGAAGGTCTTAAATTATCAGCTTTAACACTTAAGTGCTTTCTCCATTTAAAAAGCCTGTCATATCACCCATTGCTGCACTTGAATTTTATCTGGCCAACTAATGAACACCACTTCCCGGGAGTACCCTCTCCTGGCCCTCAAAATTCAGACAACTTTTCCATGGTCATATTCCCTCCAATAGTATGCTGAAATTTTCACTCAAACTACACATCCTTTTAAAATAAATAAATAAATGAATAATTGTATTTCGTATCTTCCTAGATTGTTAGATATTTAAGGTCAAGAATTGCATATATATTTGTTATTGTTGTTATGTGCCATCGAGTCAGACCCGACTCATAGCTACCCCTCCTTAGGTTTCCAAGGCAGTATCACTATGGAAGTAGATTGCCCCATCTTCCTTCCAAGGAGTGCCTGATGGGTTTGAACTGCCAGCTTTCTGGTTAGCAGTCAAGTGCCTTAGGCACTATGCTACTAGAGCTTTTATATATATGTATGTATGTATTTTTCCTCTACCATTTCCTTTATGCATAACTTAGGAACCAGGATATATACATGCTCAATAATATCTGTTACATGAGATAATAAACTCAGAATATTAGAAAAGAACTACATCTCCCAATAGCAAATACAGCAACAAGCATAGCAATTAATTCTTATACTAACTACCCATGCTAACTAAAGTAGAAGGAAATACAGACATGTTGAAATTAATGAAAGAAAAATAAGTACACAAAAAGAGTAGAAACAAAACATTTTCAAGAGTGGTTTCTTTGACCAGTCAAATAAAATGGGCTAATATCTAGTGGTTTGTTTTTTGAAGGAGAAACGGTGCATAAAAACATTTTTTCACTAAGCAAAAGAGCCAAAGACACAAATAGGTTGTGGTGAAGGGTGGACTGGAGAGGAGTGTTTTTTTTGTGTTCAGGCAACTGCTGAGTGAACAAATGTGGAGACATGTGACACCATAAAAAAGTCTCTGGAAATTTACTGAAAAGGAGTTGGGAAATAAAATTTCAGAGTAGGCTTGAGGGTAGAAGAGTCCATAGATAGTGCAAAGAGTTAGGCATTCAGCTACTAACAAAAAGTCTGGTGGTTCGTGTCTACCAAGAGGCACTTCAGAAGAATGGTCTGCTGATCTACTTCCAAAATAACAGCCCTGAAAATCCTTTGCAGCATAGATCTCTGACACACATGGAATGTCCATGAGTTGCAGTTGATTAGAAGGCAACTAGTACTGGTACTGGTAGAGTAGAACAGCAGATAAAGAGAAAAGCACCATAAAGAAGATATTGCCAATATCCTCAAGAACATGAGTAAGAAGAAGGCTAAATTCAATCATATTGAGATCAATAGATTTAGAATAAATCACACTGAAGAATGGATTTCTTTTGAGTAAGCAACCTCTGGTTTTTCTAATTACTAATCAAAAGTCTAATAAACCCTTCAAGCTTATCTCTTAATTTCTTCTATTATTCCTTGTTTAACCTACTAAGTGCCTTAGAACGTTTAATGATATTATCCATTTATTTTGTTACCTAAAGAGTTTTATGTCTTAATTTTAATATTTTCTATTTGATGTATAAAATTATTTGTTTCTATATTTATTCAATAGAGATGTATTCAACTCCTACAATATGGCCAAATTTTGCTGTGTGCTGGGAACACACTGGTAAATTAAACATAGTCCTTGCCCTTGAGCAGATTACTTACAAACAATAATGTTGTTATGGC